CAGCTTTGTAGGGATCGTGGATGAGACGGGAACCGAAAGGATGGTTCACCGGGAAGTGGCCTCGTTTATGTGATGCTCATCATTATAGGAATTGAGTTTCTTTGCATAAGAAAGAATCTGTGACAAATGGAATTTTGAGTTTTGCAACGTTTAGTGTAGGTACTGAACAGTTGTCGTACATTGAAACAACACCTCACCATTGAGAGTCGGATGCCGCCTTATGGGAGGGAATAAATGAAACAGTCGGCCAATGAAAAGAGTTTGCCTGTGTTTCAGAACCTCTTGAAAAGCTAAGATCTGCCTAAGGCACTCTCGTCCAAGACTAAAACCTATGTGGATTTATCCAGTTTCTTGTTCCGTAAATCAGGTTAGCAGTTGAATAAATACGGATTTAAGGTCTCACATACCACACAGTGAAACAGTAGCACTTACTAGATAACGTTTTGGACACAATTTATTGTCCATATTCATGTCAGGTAACTCCACAACTTCGAGACAGACTTTATGTATTCCTGATTTTCTCTCCCTCTCTGTAATGACAAGGGTAGTAGAATTTTCCATATATCTGGGAACAGGTGCAGAACCATTTCCACTACTGCGTGTATTTGGTGTTGATTCGATAAATAAAGATTCGGTTATCAATCTCTCCTTCCACCCAACTAAGTCAGTTGGGTGTGTGGGCTATAGCTCTGCATGAGATGACAGACAATCACACAGTAAGGTGGGATAGGGCGACAGTGTTGAAAACTAACTTAGTTGGGTAGAGGGAGGGATTGATAACCGAATCTTTGTTTATCGAATCAACACCAAATACACGCAGTAGTGGAAATGGTTCTGCACCTGTTCCCAGACATATGGAAAACTCTACTACCCTTGTCATTACAGAGAAGGAGAAAATCAGGAATATACAAAAATGTCTCGAAGTTGTGGAGTTACCTGATATGAATGTGGACAATAAATTGTGTCCAAAACGTTATCCAATAAATGCTACTGTTACACTGTGTGATATTTCTAATAAACAGACTGAAATGGAATTGCAATCGACCACAGTGCCCAAGTTTTACTTTTATAGTAATAAAGGCCTCACATAAAATATTTGTCAAAATCATCCGTATAACCTTATCGCAAGGAGACATATGACCATCTACACAAAAAAAGAATTGCCAGTAAAAGAAAGAAGAATTCAGAAACTACTGATACCACACCACAGTGAATGTAGCCTACGTGCATTAAATAAGTAAACATCCATGAAATAAGATGTCCAAAAAACATATCCGATAGCCTACATCGCCTCAGCCTCTACACGGCCTTCTCAACTTCGAGGCGATTCGGAGGACCGACATTTACGCCGCATTCAGGGACGGGCTGGGTGCGGAGCAACTGAAGTGGTGCTGTAGACCGACTTGACTCTGTTTCAAAGTCTCACGCCCAACCTTCTATTCGTTCATCTCAGAGGTTATCCGCGTCCCATCCTTTTCCGTGATGGTTTCACTAACCACCGTCTTCTCTTTCGCCCGTATTCTCGATAAACCCAAACAATTGCCGGGTACCACCTAGTGCTGATGCCTTCTCTACCTCTCTCGCTTTCACCACTGCTCACAACCATCACAGACTCTCAATCAATTTACGTCCAGGTTGCTTGGGCTCTTCATTGTAGTCAAAACCAGCTGGAATCAGTCTTTTTGCATTAATCAGTTAGGACGGCGGTGGAGAAACTCGATGACGTTTGCTAAACTTCGGGTGTAGGTTACCAACTGTCTTTACAGCTTTTTCTACAGCGAATATTGCGCTAGAACTCCTTATGATGAAGTTTGCGGGTATGTGCATATATGCATTTGGATACATCCTCCCTACATGGCTGCTTCACATTGTTTTTCTGGAATGAATCGTATGTGCTTCCCTGGCGCTTAGTTTCTGCCACGATTAAGGTGTAGCGAAATCGGATCGTAAATTGTGGGTTTTTTGGAAGAAATTTGTATGATATTTTGTTATGACCTTGTGCTGTTGGCTTATTTCTCTGTTGGTTTTACGAATCGAGGCTGCTCACATTTTCGATGAACACACTCAGGGAGTCTACGTCTAAGTTGGTTCCAGTCTTCATTGGTTTTAGAAGAAATGTTTGGAGCTATGTGCTAGTTTTCTCCCTAGCGAAGCCTGTTGACCGATTTGAGGGAGCGTGCGGACATTCAAGGCTTCAATGTATTGGGCTCAGTGAAATTCGAGGAAAATGGGTAGTGTTTTGTGGACTGAAATTGTTATGAAGTGCCTGATCAAATTAGGGATGATGTAGGAATGTTCACCGAACGACACGAGGAAAGGGTAAATGGTGATGATATGCGGGATCTATAGTGAAATAAGGTATTTTGAGCGCGGTTGGCGGTTCACGGCTTCTTAAATCGTGGAGGGCAAGGACGCAGGCGTAATATCCGCATGTCAGCTTCATGTCTATAATTTTGCACTACAACGTAGCTTAGTAATTCACTATGTTTGGAGTCATTTATCAACATCGCACTTAAGTAGTGGTCGGATGGCTGATCATCATCACAATCAGGATCAGTATAGGACTCAGGCATTACTGCGTAACGGTCAAAGTTGCCACACCTCATATCAGTACATCAAGTAACAAGGCAATAAAATTGGAGATGAAGGAGGAAAGAAAAATCGGTCAAAAGAAAGTAGTAAAAGACAGGAAGGGGAAACGAGATGACATTAAGTATAACGGTTAAGGTGTGTATGCATCTGCGCCACTGACATCGGTTCTGAGTCAAATCACTCAGTCTCTAACCACTAGTTTCTCTTGTCCCGCGGACCCCGACCGGCTAGTATGGATCGCTTCACATGGCTCAAACCAACGGTCAAAGACTTCATACATTGGTGCCATGCTTTTGTCTGGCCGCCTGAAGTCTTTTTCCAGCCTGAACCTACTTCGGCCAACATTGTGCGACGGGGCAGACGATGGCTAGACATATGTAGCACATGTCCCAGCCATCTTAGTCAATGAAGGCTCACAACTGCATCAACTGTCTCACCTCTCATGCCTAAAACCTTACGTCTGACTTCTGCGTTACGTGGTGATACCACGCAACATGGCCTATGCTACGAGGGCAACGGTGGTTAAACACCTGAAGCCTTCTCATATCTTCTACCTTTAGTGCCCATGTTTCATAACCATACATTAGAACAGAGCGAACTGCAGCACAGAACACTTGATCCTTAACACAAACGGATATCATGGTGGCGCCACAAATGGCGTAAGTTGGCAAAAGCCAACCGAGCCTTTTGTATCCGTTCAGAGACTTCGTCGGCCACTGAGCCACCAGGGATGATCCTACTTCCCAGGTAAGTGAAGTGGTCGACACACTCAACCATTACACCCTCTATTGTTAGCCGGGGCACCGTTGAAGACCAATCCTGAAGCAACAATTTGCATTTGGATGGCGAGTAAAGGATCCCAAACATTCTTAAACTGCGGCTCAATGTGTCAAGAAGACTACATCTTGTCAGCGTTTTCACCTAACACGACTATATTATCTGCGTAATCTAGGTCTACCGAAAATTCTCCTGTGATCAGGTCAATCTTTGTGTGGGTGGATGACGAGATGTATAGGTTTTCATTTCGCAACTTTTAACACCTAGTTCGACGTTGTCTTTTTGGAAACATGTAAAGCATTTCTCAGACCTGTTCAACAGACATACAACTAGTTCTTTGAACCTATTTCCTTGACTTCACTGATTAGCGTTAATCATCATATGTCAACTAGTTTAGACAATATCTTTAGACTAATTCACTTTCGCGAACAGGCAAACCTTGCTAGAAAAAACTCTTGTTGTCCACAATTTTTGACCCGATTTCTCATCAAACGTACCTTGAAATCAAAATGAAGACCTATTTTAACAGCATAACTTTTAATTTAGACCCAAGTGACTGCATTTGGGTTAAAATGCAGTCAAATATATAACGAACAATCCTGTTGGACGCTTACTAAATAATAACGGCGTCTACCAACAGTTGGCTGGCTAATGGTGGGACTTATGTTAAAAAAAGGACAATTAAGTAATTCCAAGCAGCAAATCATTTGATGTACGATACCAAACAATTAGGTTACTGAATGAATGCTAATTTTGCCATTGACACTGCTAGCCATAGTGTACAACTGTACGAAATAACTTTGTGATATAATTTTCAAGATGCAAGTATATATATTTAAATTATCCCAATAACTATTGAAGTGCAAGTTGATATGAAAACATGCTTACTTTCAATGGCGTGGGTATGAATTGGTTTGTAAACCACGATGTTTCCACTTGTTATCATTTATAATACCTTTTTAGGTCCATTTAACTATCATGTGATATGGGTGTTTCAGCATAGATCAGTCGATATATAATGTTCATCCGTGAATGGACTAGTGTTGTAGTTGAACTATGAGAGCCATGGAAAACAACTGGCTTATTTCTATAGGGTTATGTACACCTCACAATGTTTTTCTACTTGATAAAGTCGCAATAGCTATCAAAGTGAAGACGACTATCATCTAACGCAGAAAAACAACTCGGATTTGCTGACGGATGCCTCCTACTTAAAGAAGTGAAGTTGCTTTAAAAAACGAACAAAAGTATGAATCCAAATCAGTACAACATACTACTTAAGCAATTGTTTAAGAGAAGCGAAATCACTAATTTACTTCTAGTTTTATTAACTGTTTCTGGAATCATTTTTAGACAACCAGTAAATCGGATGGGAACGTCCGATTTAACTTCATTTATGAAATACTTCTGAAGCTTTCGCAAGTCGCATACTTCAATAACTGTGCTTGCTTTTTTCACATGAAAGAGTTTGCGCTTACAACATCTACTAAGAAATTTAAATACATCAGAGAAGAAGACATTACATAATGAGTGAAAAATGTAACATAATCAGATTTTCATACCACAAAATCATACCTACATTAAGTATTTACAAGCAAAACAGCCATCAAGTCAGAAAAAATTCGTAGAAATTAACGGGATAAATCATTCATCATAAAAGCTTGTGTATCGTACGGCTCAGCTGTTATTTGTCTTCCAGCAAAATACCGCTTATTTAGTGCATTAGCAGCATTCTGCACGGAGCCCACATCGGAAAACACAACAAATATATTAACAAATTCCTCGTTTGTTTCATGAGTATTGTCTTGGTGAATCAGTACTTTCTCAACCGACCCATATTTCGAACACTCGCCTGCTACTTCCCCTTCGAGTTCATCATCGCAATCCTCTGGACCGACCATATTTCGTAGGATTAAAACACTATAAATAATTACACCACAAAAGTAACGTCTACAAATAATCTAGTATCATAAAATATTAAAAACAGTTTTCGAGTAAATTCTACCAATGAAAAAGATACTTGCATGTGTTTAGTTATGTCACGTAATAACCTAACGTGATGATGAGTCGTCGTTTATCAACACCCCTATATCTTAATACGACTTACTGAAAAATTTAGGATACTGATAAGTTGTAGCTTATCACGGTAAAACAAGCATACATCTGTTAATTAATCAAAATCTATTTCAATCAGATAAGAATCTTTACGCATTTCTTGAAAAGTATAAAAACCACGTGCTTCCCTAAAACTTTGAATAATAGTGCAATAATCCACAGAATTACAAGTAACAAGTGCTAATAACTATTCATTATTTTTATTGATTTATAATTGATGTCTAAGCACACTGATATAGTCGATGGAGTGTCTGAAACTATTCACACACTTAGAAGGCTTTATAGAACATCAAATATGTTATTCTTAACAGATAAATGCAACGCTAACATTCTAAATTCGGAAACAATAATGATCAACAAGAAAATTACTGCTTTAAAAATGACAGTCAGTCAATGTCAACATGAGACATGGTGGCCAACTGCGTAACGGCCCAGTCGGTTATACCTCAAACATAATACAAGGTAGCAGGAAAACGTAACTCAACAACCACATGCAGGTTTGTGCTCTGTATTCGTAGATCCGCAACTCATTTTTGAATATTGTAGTTTATTCGGTGGTTAACAGTAGGATCCAGAACTCCCACTTTATCCAATTCAGGACTCAACAGCTGGATGCACTTGCGCCCCAGTGAGTGATGTTGTTCTTACTAATATTGAAACCCAGCACCTATCGCTTCAAACGACAACTGGGTTTGAGTCTCAGTGGGAACAACATGGCTCACTGGAGGGTGTAGGTAAACCCAGCTGACGAGTCCTAAACAGGACGAAGCGCGCGTCCTGGGTTCCACTGCTAGCCGCCAAACAAACTACAATATAATCAATATCCAGGCAGTATCAAGGTATCTATCTTCAATTTCGGATGGAGATAGGTTGAATCTGTCAACTTCCGTGGTATTTTGTTTATGCAATAGGTTTTGTGATTTGATATAAGTCGCACTTCATTATGACTAGAGACATTAACCACTAGCTGTCACTAAAACATTAGGGTTGAAAACAGATCTATTCAACAGATCCAACAGTGCCTAGCTATCATACTTACCCGCCAGTGAAATAGGTTGAATACTCAGAAGATGCAGAGGTGACAGAATTTGAAGGCAAACCAACTGGGGGTACGGATGAAGGTTCAGTGTGTGAGTATTCTTCAGGTACTTCGGACTGCCATGTCCCCACCGAATCGGAATTAATACTTTCATTGAAATTATTTACTTGGGAGTATGATACATTAGATCCAACTTTAAAAATGAGGAGAAAAGAGGAGTATAAGATCATGTAGTGAATAAACAGAATGCTTTGCCAGTACAATGTAGACTATTTAGGAGGAAGAGCATACAAAGAAGACAATTTGTTGGACCAGTAAAACAACACACTTTTACAGCTCGAATACAAAAAGTGCGAAAGTTTCTTCATGCATACAACTATTATTAAACTAATCGGTCGACTAAAGGAACATGTATACTGGTATATATAGATGGGAGTTACCACAAAATAAGAGAAAACTTTAATTTATTGAAAACTTAAGTTTGTGATCGATTTTATTCGCTCCATTCACGTTTGTGAACTACATAGATAGGGGAGTACTGTTTCAGTCAGTTGCCCTGTAGGTCATCAAGGGGGGTAGTATGCAATAAGGGGATATCACTTCAAACACGCGGAATATCCAAAGAAAATGAAATAATAAGTTGCTGCGCTAAACGACGCGTACAAGGCTTTAAAGCCATCATATTCACTAAACTCGCTGTTTGGCAGCATGATATATATATATATATATATATATATATATATATATATATATATATATATATATATATATTTGTACAAAGCCATCTGCCTTATCCAACTGTATAAAGTTGTGCTTTCCCTTTATCTGTGAAACTATATTCATCACTTTTCTAGTGATGACCAGCGATATAAAATCAGTAGACAGAAAATGAATCATTTTCATAAAACATTTTCCGAAACTGGTTTCGACATATCTTCTTAAACTTATTCCAGTTCAAAGGTTGGACCATCTCAGTGAAATGCATCAATAACAGGCGTTCTTTCATCGAATTTAGGATTGCGCTTATTTGTTCTGTAACGTTATTTTAAACAGTGGAACAAAATAGCACATGCTGACATAACATTACGGCATAACATAACGACATGAAATTACGGTAAAAGAACCAATTTCAACTAGCCAATGTAGTGCTAACATGCATCTTAACTACAGTAGTACAATGTATATTATAGTGTACTGTTCACGCTTTCTTGTTTTACAGCACTATACTATAAAGTGTAATTCTTATGGTCTAGATATTCAGAAATATTCCATATTTTACTCGATATGTATGAACACATGCATCGGTGGACTGTCTAACAGTCGATCGCACTCCCGAAGTGCACTAAAATAAATAAAGGGGGCTGACAACCAGCAGTATTGCGACGTTAGATGCATCGTTAGCAGCCCTTGAAACCTTAGAAAAATTCCAAGTGGACAACAGATAACCATCAGCTAGTTCAAAATTAGTTAATACTCTGACAAGAGTCCCAGTATACCGTAAGTTGTTTTCAAGCTGGAATTATAAAAATAATGTAGATTAGCTTTTATGCATACATATATCAATAGATGTATAAATCTAAGTAAAGAGGTCATACAAAAGAAATTCCCTCACAAAGAAAAAAGGATGAATTTTTCAGAAGCCACCCAGTTAGAACAGAAAAAGATGGATTTACCATTTGATGAAGGTTGGTCAAGAAGCAATCGGCCAGTTGTTGAGACCGATGTAGGAGAATATATAGGTAAGGAATTGTTGGTAGACTGTGTTGCTGTGTTGGGAAGAGTGTTTGGCGTCACAGAATGGGTCGTTTCAGGTTGTTTAGAATAAGAATTGATAGGCAGCTGTAATAAGAGGAAAAGCGTTCATGAAATAAGTGTCGACTAATGCACAGTGTGGATTAATTCGATTGCTGATAATTACCTGTTCTGTTTCCATTGATAAAACTTTTGCAGTAGCTGAGGCTGCGGCCACAGCTGCTGCTGGTGGGAGATTAGAAGAACTGGCATTTGAAATGCCATCTGGAGGTGAGATGGCCTTGCACACCCGCAAAAGTTGACCACCAAGATTAAATTGGTTCATGCTACCAACAGCATCAGCTGCACTCTGAGTTGATTCGTACTCAATGTAACCAAACCCTCGATGGCGCATAGGTCTCGTTGTATCAGGTTGAAGTCTATAAGCAAATCTGTATGTTTGGTAATAGGAACTCACTTGCAGAATACTATCTTTCCAAAGGCTTCAAAAACTAAAGAAACATCATCTTCAGTAAGATCCAAATGTATACCAGCAACATATATGCGGTTATGAAGGTTATGCTCATTAATCAGTTCGCTGATGACAGGTTCCGCGTTCGTTAGATTGCTAGGTCTGCCTACTTTTAGTTGTCTTCCTCCAAAACTAGTACCATTCATCTGATCAATAGCTAACTGTGCTGCTTCCGGATATTCGAATTCAAGAAACGCGAACCCTTTATGCTTTTGCGTCGAAGGGTCCCAACTTAGATTTACAGACTTGATAGGTCCAAATGGAGAAAATACTTGTTTCAGACTATCTTCCTTCACATCATATGCTATTGAACCAACGTAAACACGATTAAGAAGTGCAACAGTTTGATTCTTCTTTATGTTATTCAATTGAAGGGATTGTTGAGATTGTGTTTGACGTAAAAGCACAGAACGAATACTTTGCTCCATTGCATATTTCTTTGCTTTCTCTATAGCAGCACGCTGAGATAACTCGAGATTACAAAGTACGAATGGAGTGCTAGGTTTGCTCGCTCCAGGTCCATTGTACACAGGTCCATTTGCTTCAATCACGGCAGCCATGGTTATGAGATTCAATGGAGGGAGAGAACTTCCATTGTTCAATATGAACATTATATCAAGGTAGATGTTCTGGGGAAAAAATAGAAAACGTAAAATTCAACGAATGTAGACCCGAAAAAATAACTGACAGTTAGTAGATTATTTATTTTTAATGAACTGTTTAGTGGAGGAATTACATGAGCCATCCATAAAGACGAACCACTTCCCCAAAAACATTTTGCTGAACTAAATAACTTGAAGACAGAAACTGATTTCTCCTGAAAGATAAAGACGATAACAACCAATTCCACACATAACGAGGAAACAATTTTGACAAAATAAAGAATCTCATGGAAGTTAATTTTGGATGAAAATGACTTCATATCAGCAATTAATTGTTACTGAGATTTGTGTGAAGAAACTACAAAACTCAGTCGCACTTTCACCAGACCCTTCCAATAAACCAAGAGTATGGTAAGTATCAAGAATAAAATTAGGCGTCTTCCAAGAGAAAAGAGCATCCCGAAGACAAATTAAAGTTATAAATTTGCCGAGATTGTTAAGCAGCGGCTACAACACAAATGGCCAATGGAATGACCCTTCGACTTGATGCATCCCAGTTTTTAACTTTCCATTTCTAATGTATGCATAATTGTTAGAAACCAGTTAGTTCGGTGAAAACTATCTTAGTTCATGAGAATATAACTCCCTCACTCCTAGTTTTCAACTTTTGTCAGCTGTTTGCACGTAACTATGATCCTCCTTGCAACATTAAAAGACACGACTGTTGGAGATTGATTTATTTAGTACATGAAAGTCAAGGGAAATTGAATAATCATGTGGATGACATGGTTTAAAGTGAATAATTTCAGACTTAATATTTATGCTTCTGTGTGGAGCACACTTTTAACGGATAAGAAAATAGTTATTTGAGTGCTGAAAACTTTCAAACCATAAGTAATTCGAAACCTAATTCACTTTTCTTTCTTATGAAGTCTATCAGTCGAAAATTATAGTTAGGATACATCAATAAACCATAAAGCTGGGAAAATAATAAAATCTTTGATTACTTTGAAACTCTCTTGACTTTGTTATCGTCCCATAGTTGCTACTTAGCGACAACGATCTTATCGATTCTTCGAACTCATACTAATGCAGGTAATCCTAGTATACTGAGTAGCTTCCCAGTATTTTGACATGAATGCGGGTAATCTAATGCAGTGACGACTCTGAAGTTTGTAACAGGTTACATTCAACAACTGTCAATCAGAACTCTGGTTATAATTGAAAATGTATGTTGTATTCACGATATATGAATGCAAGATCTTAAAAATAAGCCAGAGCTTCCTCACTCATTGGTCAATTTAGTGACATCTTACTACTTTGCGTTTCACCGCAGATTTTGTTACAAATTTACTTAGTTGCAGGGATACATGAATCGCATCACTGAAAACTCTGGACAACGATCTGTAAAACACCCAGTTAGGACTAGACTTTCTCACAACCAACTCAGACTAGATGAATTCCACTTTCGAAATAGAGGTGAATATTTTCAGTGTGGACACTGAATTTGATGACATTTTCACTAAATTTCAGTGTTCAATGTAAATGTAGGCGTGGACTCACTCAACAGCAATGCAACTATCAAAACTGGTTTTTCAAAAAGTAGTCCCAGCTTCGCACTTCGCAATAGCATAGACGCTGTAGTGTGAAAAAAGAGGGATGCAGTGAAGTACTTTAGTCACAGAGATCCTACAAATGATTACGACTTGCACGTTACAGACAATCATGGGTCTGCAAAATGCACTGAATTCAAAATAGTAAGGTTGGAAGGTTTTTAAATCTCAGCAACCCTGACTTTCAGTGGTACAGCATCAGGTTCTGTTGCTCTCAGCCGCTTTAGGTTTGAAACTTCATTTCCAGCTACTGCAAGAGTTCAAGTAATAACGTCTGCATTCCCACTCAGTTTCACACAACTGAAATTTGACTATAGATCATCTAAACTGTTCGTAAGTGTTCTGTCTACCGGTCGTGAGAAGATATCACCGACTAGCTTTTCTTGGTGATACTTTCACTAACGATTGTTTTTTGACCTTTGTCTTTGACAAGCTTAAATAACTATTGAATATTATCTTGCATCCATACGTTCCTCACCTCTAGCTACCATCAACCAACAAAGCTCGTAATCGTTATGAAAACCAAACGTTACCTTAAGGGTAAGCTCCTTTCGCTCCTCGCCATGATTATAATCGACCTTAGACTCTTCTTATGGCGACCAATTTAGAAGAGACTGTAAAGATTCGTTGACTTCTAATGATCTTTGGTTATTTGTCTTTATTGCTGTTTCAACAGTAGACTGAATATTTCACCAGTGGTTAGAGCACTGGTTACTAGGAGATTCTGAGTCCGGATAAAGAGGGAAGGTTGGGCATAGACAAGGCTAGCAACCCTACTCCAGAAAACCAATCTAACCGCTACAGAAACTTCTAAGCACAAACAAATATAAAAAATGAAAAAAAACTTATCCCTCGCCGGAATTGGAGAGGCGAAATGATGCCGGTTGGTGAAAGCCTTCGGGAAGCCAATTGCCCGATGTGTCTTCTCTCGGTGAAAGTGGAAGTAAGTATGGGGACATGGAATGTCCGCACTATGTTTGAACCCAGCAAGGCTGCCCAGATTGCAAAGGAGATGAGAAGGTATCGCATTGAAGTGTTAGGAACCTGCGAAAGCAGGTGGAATGGAAGTGGACTCTCCAAACTGTCAACTGGAGAGGAGTCAGTAATCTACTCCGATATTGTCACCCAGACGACAACCACAAGCACACAATTTTGGAGGAAGTGGCTATCATGATGTCCCCAAGAGCATCGAAACGACATCATGCAGTAGGAACCAATCTCCTCCATGATCATGACATCAAAATTCAAATCAAAAGGAAGGAAAGTTACAATCATTCAATGCTACGCACCTACAAATAGTGCAGATTAAGAGAAGGAGAAATTCTACAGACAACTGCAATCAACACTGGACAAGACCTCAGTTGGTGATATCGAAATTCTAATGGGCGACATGAATGCCAAACTGGGAGTGGACAACACAGGAACAGAACTAACCATGGATCGAGAAGCGCTAGGTGAAATGAACGAGAATGGAGAACTGTTTGCAGATTTCTGCGCATTCAACGATTTGGTGATTGGAGGCAGTGGGTACAAAAACAAGGATATTCACAAAGCGACACGGATTTCACTAGATGGACACACTGCACTGAAAACCAGATCAACTTCATCTCAATCTCACGAAAGTGAAGATACAGCCTACTAGACACAAGATCAAGAAGGGGAGCAGATGTAGCATCACACCACTCACTGTCTAGTGCAAGGAACCTTCCAAATCAAGTTGAAAACCTTCAAGGAAGTTGGTGATAGATCACAGTTCAAGTTCAACACCCAGTACAGAAACTGAAGGACGGAACTACAAAGGGAATCTTCACATCAGCCATTATGACAAAATCCCGACCGATAGCTGCTACCTTGACGTGGTGGTCGGGCTTGCATATCACAATGACCCAACGAGCTATGCTGGTGGAACGCTTGTTCCCTCGAGGTCCTACCATACCAGAAAGGTCTGTTGGGTAGTGGTTAGACGAAAAGCAGTTACCGTCATAGTGTAAATTGCTATACTATGATGGGGGTCTGAGGGCGAAGTCGTACTGCTGCTAGCTGGATGGGGTGTGACAGCAGTAAGGTGTTTCCCTTGGATGACCAGCAGTGCCAAGCTGATGCTGCCTTCTCAGTGGAAGGGGGGGTTAGAAAAGGTCGGCCCCAAAAATAACACACTCCACCACGCCCCACGGTCTGCCGGGCCGGCGGTGTTGGTTCACTTGTCGTTTCCTTTCGCTCATCCGGCCCCAAAAATACAAAAATTCAAAATAATCATACTCAAAAGGCTGGGTGTGACAGGCCTCAAGCAGATGTCCGATGGGCTCTGCGGTCACACAAATCTCTTTCAGGTACCTTAAGAAGAAATAGCCTTCCACGGTGTGGGCAGCCGGGAAGTGTCAACCGCCCTCACAACTCTGTCAGCACCCAAGTTTCTTCTGACTGCTATCCTCCTCCTCCATCATTACCTTCTAATCTTCCTTCACGTCTCTTAATTAATGATGCTGCATCATCTTCAATTTCTCCTACCTCTGCAGCCTTCGACAACGATCTGAGTCCACAGAACAGTGTCCCTGGTCTCCTTAAACCACGCTCCAAATTACATATTGGAGCCTTCAATGTCCGCACCCTCCGTCAAATTGGCCAACAGGCTTCGTTGGCAAAGACTCTAGCAACTCGAGGCATGGATGTGTGCTGTGTTTGTGAGACACGCATACAGGACCCAAGTGTGGTTATTCACCTGACCTCTCCTGACCAATCTGGTGAATCTGCAAAATTCACCCTTCGAGTTTCTGGAGATTCGATAGCTAGCTCTCGTGGTCTTGCAGGTGTAGGTATAGCATTAAGCACCAGGGCAGAAAACTCACTACTAGACTGGATCCCAGTTGATAGTCGCCTCTGCGCTATGAGGCTGAACGGCACAGTGAGAACTAAAAGGAATAGTGAGACTCGCCGTTGTCTCTTTGTAATCTCTGCTTACGCACCCACTGACTGTAGTTCGGATGAAGTGAAGGACGAGTTCTACCATAAACTGTCTAACCTCCTCTCGAAAGCCAAACGTTCGGACGTAGTGGTTGTTGCAGGTGACCTCAACGCACAGGTGGGTAGACTGAGTGAGGCAGAAAGGCACTTAGGTGGCACTTTCGGAATCCCAGCTGAACGTACAGATAACGGTGATCGCCTATTACAACTATGCTCAGATAACCGCCTATTTTTAGCCAGCACAAATTTCAGACATAAAGAAAGGCACTGTCTGACCTGGCGTCCACCGAGCTCGACTCAGCGATGGACACAGATAGACCACATTGCTATTAGTCATCGCTGGAGAGGATCGGTGGAAGACTGCCGCTCCTTCTGGAGTACGTGTTTGGACAGCGATCATGCGTTGGTCCGAGCACGTATATGCCTGCGTCTCAATGGACGTAGAAAAAATTT